CCTGCTGTCTCAGGGAACTGTACAACAAAACAACAATCGATTCAAGTCTGATTCAAATCCACTTCAGTCAATTCACTCCAATTATAAAATAAAGCATCCATACACGTCATAAAATGTTATTTAATAATAATGATCTATTTAAGGAGCCAGAAGCCTGAGTTGAATCTTCACTTTGTCACAATCTCCCATCCTGAGCAGCACACAGTGGAAGGAACAGCTTTCTCCTAACAGAAGGAAACCTCCACCAGAACTAGGACCAGGACCAGGACCAGGATGAGCAGCCACCGCCTCAGTCAGCTGAGATTAGAGAAGACAGGAGAGACACAGACAAACAGGAAGTGGTTTGTGTTTGGTTTAACATGTTAATGATGTAATTACAAATATAAAAATGAACAGTAAAGTGAGTAAAAACAGCAGCAGAGTGAGGAGATGTGGACAGTTTGTCCTCCAGCAGTCTAAGCCTATAGCAGCATAACTAAGGGACAGCTCAGGAAACCCAAGCTGACCCTAACTATAGGATTTATCAAAAAGGAAAGTCTTAAGCCCAGTCTTCAAACTGGACAATGTGTCAGCCTCATGGACAGAAACTGGAAGTTGGTTCCACAAGAGAGGAGCCTGATACCTGAAAGATCTTCCCCCATTCTGCTTTTGGAAACTCTAGGAACCACAAGTAAACCTGCAGGCTGAGAGCAAAATGCTGTTAGTAAAATATATAATAATAAGATCTTTTAAATAAGATGGAGCTAGGTTTTGTATGTTAGATGTAAGATTTATTCTGACAGGGAGCCAAGCTAAAACTGATCTGATTTCTTCTCACTTCCATCAGAAGTCCAGCAGCAGCATTTTGTTACAAGATGTTTCTAATCTTAGTGAAATTGTTTCGGTGGAGGAAAGCGGTCCTGGTAACATTTTTATTGTGGGGGTTAAAAGACATGTCCTGATCAAAAATAACACCAAGGTTCTTTTCATTAAAACTGGAGGCCAGATGAATACCACCCAGAGGAAGGTAAAGGCTGCAGAGTTTGTTCCAAACATGCTCAATAAGCAAGTTTCAGTAATCCTCAGCTGTAACTGGAGTCAGATTGGATATGAGTTTTATAATCTTGCAGTTTAATCTCATCTGTTCCTTCCTGATGACTGACTAACATCCCTCCCTCTCCCTGGAGTCGGGTCACGGGGGCAGCATCTTGAGCAGGGAGGCCCAAGCATCTCTTTCCACAGCCACCTCTTCTGGGAAGACTGCAAGGCATTTCCAGGCCAGCAGGGAGACGTAGTCTCTCCAGCGTGTCCTGGGTCCTCCACGGGGTCTCCTCCCAGTCAGACACGTGCCTGAGAACATGGATTAAAGTTCTCTGTCACCAAGACTGATTTCTGTCATTGGTAAAAATAAGGAGGGGAGAATACGTTTGTTTCGGTGTGGTCTTGTTAAAGCCGTCCAGCCTAATGATGCAGGAATTAAACTGACACTGCCACACTGCCTTCAACCAATAAAGAGAACCAGTTTGGCCCAGTCAGAGCAGAGCAGGGCAGGTCGTGGGTCTGGTTCACAGTGAGCCTGGGTGTGAGCAGCAGACAAACTGCAGGCTCACAAGCTCACCTGCAGCAAGCTAAGGAGGACACCCCCGCTACCCTAAAGGAACCGCCCACCCCTTCATGAAGGTGATGACATGTCACCTTCATGAATTATTAAATGTCTACGTATTAAATGTATATTTGCACGTGACCAATTCAATGCATCTGGGGGAGATACCAGAACTGATACACCCCCCACCCCCTCCTCCCACACCACACCCCCGACCTCCTCGGAACCTTTATACCTAAAATCTAACTTGAGGTGTTGGGTAACCTCTAGGTGTAGAAAACATTTCAGTCAAAAGATTTTTTTCTGCTTTAATCCAGGCTGAAGCACCTCCCTAGGGAGGTGCCCAGGGAGCATCCTTACCAGAAGCCCAAACCAACTCAACTGGCTCCTCTCAATGTGGAGGAGCAGCGGTTCTACTCCGAGTCTCTCTTGATAACTGAACTTCTCACCCTGTCTCTAAAGGAGAGTCCAGCTGCCCTGTGGAGGAAACTCTTTTCAACCGCTTGTATCCATCATCTCATTATTTCAGTCACTACCCAGAGCTCATGACCACAGGTGAGGGTAGGAACATAGACCGACCGGTAAACAGAGAGCTTTGTCTTACAGCTCAGCTCTCTCTTCACCACAATGGACCAGCACAGAGTCCACAATACTGCAGACACTGCACCAATCGTCTGTCAATGTCATGCTCCATTATTCCCTCACTCAAGAACAAAACCCCAAAATACTTAAACTCCTCCACTTGACACAAAATCTCATTCCCAACCTGAAGAGAGCAATCCACCCTTTCCTGACTGAGGACCATGGCCTCAGATTTGGAGGTGTCGATCCTCATCTCAGCCGCATCGCAATAAGTTGCAAACCTCTCCAGTGACAGCTGAAGATCAAAGCACGATGATGCCAACAGGACCACGTCATCTGCAGGGAAGAGTGATGGAATCTCTGGAAAGTCGGTCCCGTTCTGGCTTCAATCTACAGGTTTTACTACTTATTATTTACTGTATGAGTTCTTCCATTTGTTCCTCTTTTCTTCTGACGGACACCTGACCTTTAGTTAGCTTTGTTCCACAATGAGTTCAACCAGTCTGGGCAGCTCTTTGGAGTTATGTCTTATTCTAACACCCCCCCCCCCACCCCTCCTCCCTGCAGCAATGCCTGGTCCGTGCTGCCATGATGAGTTTCATGTAAGGAAGGAGGACTTTGTCTTCTGTGAAGCAGAAGAGCAAGGACAGCCCTAAGGTTAGTGCCCATCTAAATACAGACTCTTCTCACATGCACATGGTCTTGTAGAAACGTTTCATCTCTCATCCGAGAGACTTCCTCAATCTAAGGTGCTGTTTTCAGCTCAGTCTCTTAAATAGCACCTTCTCAGAGTGGATCAATCAGTTTGCTGCTGACAACCAAAACCAGCTGATCACATGCTCAAGAAGGACCATCAGCCTAACAATGGATCATTAGC